CTGAATAGTCCACTTCTGTGTGATAACCATTCAACCATTCCATGAATTGGAGAGAGAAAACATGCAAAGATTGGTCAGCATTTCTAACTGCAACATGCACCTTTCGAGAGAGATTGGAATGACCCATCTCCAAAACAAATGTCACAATATCTCAGACCTTTGCACTGACATCCACCTCCAAGAAATGAACAACCATTGGCACATAGCTAGATTGTCTCTTGGCCTTCACACTAATCTGATGGTGTAACCAGAACGGAGTATGGCCTTGCTTTGGTTATTATGCTGCACTGAATTGCAGTAAGTGACCTCCAGCTCTTCACCACCAGGGAGGTACGGGTGAGTCACAAGGGAAGATAAAGAAAGGGCTCAATGAAAAATGGGATTCTGCCCAAGGTGCTCTCACTTCTCACCTTGCCCCCACGACAAGTCAGGAGGTCATTTGTTGCCTCCTGTTCATGACTAAGTCTGCCCCTGTTAGGTTCAATGTTTAGCGGCATCCTCACAGGCTCCAAAATGAAGAGAAAATTGACGACGAGTACCTCAGCAGGTACAGCAGGAGAATGAGCAGTCTGTCTCAAGTTTTTGTGAAGCTACGTCAGTTACACAACATAAAAATAACTGGAAGAATTGTGGTTCCACGAGAGAAATTAGTTGGTTGTTTAAAAGAATGCCAGATTGTCACATTTACTGTTAGCATTCAGAAGATAGAACTGATCTCCAAGGAGCCATCACCTGTCATTGTTTGGAGGTGTGCAGAACAATGGCCAGCTTAGAATCAAGTCTTTATAGCAGGTTCCTGGTCATCTTGCACAGACAAGCATGATAATCTAGTTATACAGCAGCTAAAAACATTATTGGAGTGTAATCCATTGTATATGATAAATGCTGCTTGGAGGTGTGCATGTAGGTGGCAAACATTGCATTAAATACCTGGGAGATAGATGTACCCTTTACTCTGCAGATTGTGAAATCCTGCACGTAACAAGTAGATCTTTGGAGGGACCTAACAATACAGAAATGTAGGGCTGTGGTGACCTTGAGCCTCACTGTGAGCATGTGCCCACCTGGCTCACTTGGCAGGAAATTACAGTAATGATCTGTTGCAGAGGCTGGAGCTTCTTGAAGCATTGGTGCTCAGTCTGTAAAGTTAATCTGCTTGTACACCCTATGGGGGGGTATATCCTCCTCTGAACTGGAGATCCATATTAATCCCCGCTATCCAGTGAAGCAGCAGAAGGATGAGGAGGAAGTGCTGTTGCTCCAATCAGCATTGCTCCTCTGCTCATGACATCGCTGCTTCTCTCAAAGATCAACGTTTGGCTGTAGGATCTATTGTCCCACGTTACTTTAAAGGTGATGGTTGGTTAAATTCCCACTTTTCCAAATAGGCAGAGGAACACAGGAATCTGGGAATACTAAAAGTAACAATCCAAGTTAATAAAGCCAATGAATTAAACAAACCAAGCAATTGATGGTGGTGGTGTGGGTATGGGTGGAGATCCATTTCCTGTAGGATAGAATTGAAAAGCAGAGCAGCTACATTAAAACCTCTCCAGAATCTTGGTTAGATCATATTTGGACTACTGTGAACAGATTATAAAAAGGATATTGAAATCTTTGATTTGGTGAAAAAAGATTCATTTGTAATTACTGAGCTATCAGGAAATAAACATTGGGCTTCAGTTCTTTCCTCTCAAGCTGAGGGTTTAACTGCAATAGCAGGATTTTTTTTCTTGAGAAAATAGTGATGAGGTATTTAGCATTAAGAGGGTTTGATAGGATAGATGTAGAGCTGATGTTTTCAATCATGGATCCACTTAGAACTGGAGCTGTAAATATAACAGTCAGTCATTAATAAATCCAGGAATAATTCAGCAGAAATCTTTATCCACTGAATGGTGAGAATAAGCAGTACATTACCACAAGAGTCGGTGAGATGAAAAACAGAAAAACATTTAAAGGGAAGATAGAAAACCAAGATGATGAAATGAATAAAACATTATGCACTTGAGCTTAGATGATGAAAGAGAAGGAGGCTTACATGGAATACCGGCATTGACATGTGGAGCTGAATGGTCTGTTTCTGTGCTGTGGATAACTCGTAAAACTCCATCATAGACTTAACAACCCATTCAAATCTGCGTTTACAGCCTCAACGCAATCCGCAGCATAAGAGCATATATATTCTACCCTATTTAGTCTCCTCCTATTATCATTAGTCACCCCTATCCTCGACTCTATAATGGAGCTGTGTCAGAGGTTAAATCACAATGGGATCCAACAACGTGTGATACAAAATTTACTTCTGATGGGCTGCCTACCTTGGCATGCAGCAGTTCAGGAAACATCATTCCCAAATAACATCCAATCTCCATCTGTACTTACCCTTAATCTTGTGCATAACCAGATTTTCACCAGGTCCTGTTGTTAATAGACTGCTTTCCTGGGAGACTATTTCCCATGCTGTGAAAGGAAAGAAATCCTTCAAATTTCACAGGCTGAACTTTCTATTTATACTTCATGTTCATTGTGCATTTCACTTGATAGAAGCTAACCAAATGACTCAGCAAGGAAGACATTCATTCAACTGCTACAGTGATATCACAGGCCGAACTAAGATGCATCAACTGGCTTTGTGATTCCCATGCAATGAAGAGACAAAAACTGCCAGGGTCCAGTAGGAAATAGTCAGTTAGATACAGAGTAAATCTCCCTCTACACCATTCCCATCAAACACACCCAGGACAGGACAGCATGGGGTTTGATAGACAGTAAAGCTTCCTCTACACCATCCTTGTCAAATACTTCCAGAGCAGGACAGCAAGGGGATAGACACAGTGTAAAGTTTCCTCTACACTGTCCCCATTAAACACTCCCAGGACAGGTATATGGGGTTAGATGCAGAGTAAAGCTCCCTCCACACTGTCCACAACAAACATACTTCACTAACTCTCAATGCTCCTCTACATCACTATTTTCCATTCACTTCCTGCATTAATTGTTACACCTTGATAAGGTACTTCAGCAAATGTAGTAGAATTGAGTTTGGGTTTTGTTACCAGAATAACTAGAGCTGGGAGAATAATGAATCCCATCAGGCCTTGAACATATCAGAAAGAGGGCGGAATTGAAGTACATGTTGGATTCACAGATTTTAACCAAAAATGCATCCCTCTGTTTATCACATAAAATTGGAAATCACATTTTCCTAGTATACCCATGCAATCTACTTCTCATAGAACACTTTCTGCTTCTTTTGCAACATAATAATCTAATGTCAGCATCTAAGATCAGTTATTGTTCAGTTCTCTACCCTCTAATGCAAAGCTCTGGAGAAAATTTCAGCTTGTGCTTGGGTAAATTTAAATATTCCATTTGAATCACCAGGTGGAATTTAATGGAGATGATGGGCATTTGTCCAATGTCTGAAGAGAGAGTGGGAGGAGCACACTGCTTCTTGTCAGGAAAACCCGCTGCACTGAGTGCCTATCAGGCACATTAGACTGAAAAGTCGGTAGGAGAAGAAGCAGGACATTCAGACATTCAAGTCAGTTCTGCCTGTCTTTTCCCCATAACCCTTGATTCCCTTACTGATTAAAAATCTGTCTTTCTCAGCCATGAATATATAAAATGAACCAGCCTCGACAGCTCTCGGTGGTAAAGAGCTTCACAGACTCACTAGCCTTTGAAAGCTACTCATTTATTGGACAGCAGTTGGCCTTCCAAAGATCAAGGACCCGCTGAGCACAGAGTTTCTAACCAACAAGAGTTGCTGGCAAAATAGAGGCTGATAGCTCTATTGGTCAACTGTGCTGCCACTGAGGTGGTGGAAACTGCCACCTGGTGAGCCCTTGTCTGCTGCTGGGTTAATATCAGGGGTGGTGACAGGATGAGGCACTTCAGTGGTCTGTACACAGTTTTGGTCTCCTTAATTAAGAAATGGTGTGGGTGTGTGTTAGAAGAAGTTCAGAGGAGGTTCACTTCACTGATAGCCCTGATGGAGGGACTTTATGAGGAAAGCTTGAACAGGCTGGGCCTGTATCCAGTGGAGTTCAGAAGCACGAGAGGTGATCTTATTGAAACATACAAGAACCTGAGGAGACTTGACAGGGAGGATAACAGAAGGATGTTTCTTCCTATAGGCGAGACTAGAACTAGGGCACACAATATAAAAATAAGGGTTTCCCATTTAAGACAGAAATTAAGATTAAATTAATTTTTAATCTTAGAAGCTTGAGGGGTTTTGGAACTCTCTGGAGACTGGTGGAGGCAGATTTTATTCAGTATTTTAAAAACAGAGGTAGATTGTTTTTAAATTGCTCGTCAGTCAAAAACCCACCAAGGGTAGGAGGGATTGTGAAATTGAAGCCACAAGCCATGATCTTACTGAGCAGGCTGTAGGGGCTGAATAAGAGACCTGCTCTTGCTCCTAATTCATATGTTCAGACGTGCATTCATTGACTGCCTAAGGGCTTCAATTTGCTGCAGGGTAGGATGGCTGTGCACAGAATTTCAGGCTATGGATTTCACCAGAGTGGAGGTAAGGTAGGGGGAAGGGGGGGGCAGCAGGGTCTCCATCCACTATCCTCACAACTGATTAAAATGACAGCCTGTCATGAAGCTCCTATGGGAGAGGCATTAAATCCCAACCGCTAGGCTTTGAGTGGAAACAGCATATGACAACTCACTCAAAGCTCTGTCTTCACATGATTTTGTTTTCTGTACCCCTGGAGATGTTCATGGATTCTTCATCTAGCTCCACTTTTCAGTTTGAAAGTTGGCCTTTCAAAAAAAAGATTGATATCAGATCTATAGTTTTAAATATATTAAAATCATAGTAAATTAAAATTTCAATAACATTCTTAATTTAAATATGCTATCCTAATTAACGTCCAGTTGGTAATGTCACAACCTAACCTGACAACCAACAAAACAGTTGACAATATTGGTGGGGCAATCCATTACAAATAGTGGCTAAGGTGACTAAAAGGGGCAAGATATCAGAATGCCAGTTATATTTTAATATATAGACAGAGCAGAACGTTCTTACTGTTGCATCATAAGGTTCATTCTTCACACGGTGCATCATCCAAGATGCCCAGTTATTCACCAATCAATACATATTCTGGAAGCAAAAGTCAAACTAGCACATCAAGAATGTCAAACTGATTTGGTTCCGAGGTAAAGCACTCTATGGTCTGTCGAGTACTCCCAGAAAACAGGAACAGAGTTAAGAGGCAATTAGGTGTGTTTCTGGAGAGAAAATTGTAAAAATATGAGTTCAGAGGGTTTAAAAAAAGTGAAGGGATTGGTGAGCCTAACATTTCCCAATTATTAAAATAATGTTTTTAATTGTAATTTGTAATTCACAGTTTAAGTAGAAAAGAAAATAAAGGAAAAAAAGAGAAAGGAAAGGGATAATATCAATATTCAAGATAAATAAAATCGTGTAATAAAATTAAAACGGTCAAGAGTTGCAAATAGGAAAAGTTATAAATAAAATTGAATTATTGAGTTGCAAAGAGAACATATAAAATTCAGAAGTGCTTTTCTTTTATTCCTTCATGGGATGTGAGCATCGCTGGCTAGGCCAGCATTTATTGCCCATTGGGCAGTTCAGAGTCAACCACATTACTGTGGGTCTGGAGTCACATGTAGGTCAGATCAGGTAAGGATGGCAGATTTCCTTCCCTAAAGGACATTTGTGAAGCAGATGGGTTTTTATAACAATCATTGTCACATGGTTGCCATTATACTAGCTTTTTATATGCTTAGTAAATGTAAATCCTGGAGGGTCTGAGAAACACAGAAAACCGGGCAGAAGCAAAACGAACTTTATCTGCCCAACGTTATCAATACATGCAAACCCGACAGAGGAACAAACCTTAGTGCCAAACAGAGCCAGAGAGCCTGCAGCATGGTATACTTATACCGAGGGTGAAGTGGGGCAGGGCCAACATACAACTTTTCCTCTTGTTGTATAAAAGAAATTTTCTTTCTCCTTATTTTCAAATCAACATATCACTTTAGAATGCTCTGCTCCCTTGAGATAAGAAAAGCATGTGGAATTCTCTAATGAAATGGAATAAAACAGTCATTGATGTGTTTTGGGGCTGTATAATACAACTCAAAATTCACTCCCAACTCACGAGGTCTTAATGAGGAGATAAGTCAAGCTGTGACATTTTGCTGAAAGGAATGCACTATTATCTCTGAAGTATAAGCTAGGCAGGTTGATAAAGACAGTTCTTTCTCATGAAATGAGGTCAAAGTAATTTGGATCCTTTTGCCATAGATACAGGAGAAAGAAAATATCAACAGCTTCTCAGTTTGTGACTAGACTCGAAGAACTTTGAACTTCTGGGTGGGGAGGGTGATGGAGGTGCATTTGGGTTTAGATGCTAATTTTGACACTTCGGTGAGGTGTTGCATGGGGAGCAATTAGGCTTAAAGGGTCAAAGTCCAACACTGTCCTCACCCAACTGCAATACATTAGGGTCACTGGACAGTCAGCAGAATGGGAGCCCTGGTTGATTCTTCTATTCTGGGAGGCTGGTAATTGAAGTGAACTTATTGCATCCCTGGTTGAGATCCGTACAGACTAAGGATAAAGTCTGGGATTTTTCTTGTCTGTATGGCTCGCTATCTTAGTGACTCCCTGAACCTTTCAAGGACTACATATTGATTAAAAAACTCTACGTGTCTCAGACCGTCCAAGTGGGGTTCCCAACCACCCCAAAAGGATTGGGATAATGTATTATCAAAAGTGTTACCTTTCAGCTCTTAGTTCAATCTAAACTTTTCTAATGAGCTGTTAACTCATTTCAACTGAAAGATTATTGTCAAACATATTAGAGAAAATATATAGTAAAAATGTAAAAAGTCACAATTGGTTTAATACTGCTGACACTACTTTCAAATACTCTATGGCATCCTTCACTCTGATTCTGAGAGTTCAGTTCAGTTCAGTGCACGTACAGTCCTTCTTTGGACTCGATAAAGATCTCTGCAAATAGTACAATGCAATGGTCACATTTGGACTGCACTGTGGAATGTTCACACACGGATCTGGTAGCCCACATCATTAAGGTTTTTTTGCTCCGTTGTCTTCTTCTCTCCCGAAGATCTGGAAAATAAGGAAAACACTATGAAAGATTCAAGAAGTGAGTCAATGGCTTAGGAGAAACTAAACACCGTGACTGAAATAAAAAGAGCTCTAAGGGAGACTGCTAAGAACAGAAATATTACCCATTTGAACAGTCAAAGAGGAGCAAGCATTTAGTCTGAATGCATTCTGTCATGCATGGCTGATCTAAACTAACTCTATATAGCCAATCCGGCAGCATCTGTGGACAGAAATCACAGTTAATGTTTCAGGTCCAGTGACCCTTTAGGCTGAAGGTCTGGCAGCATCTGCGGACCTGAAACATTAACTCGGCGTTTTGTCCACAGATGCTAACTGACCTGCTGAGCTTCTGTTTTGGTTTCTGATTTCCAGTATCTGTAGTTCTTTTGATTTTTTAATATATACCCAATCTGTGTACCATATTCTTTGTTATCCTTTGTAATTCTCAGCCAGAGATTTAAAGCTAACAATTGATATAACATTAATTGCCATTTGTCAGAGATTTCCAAACTTTTCCCACCCATGGTGCAAAGTACTTACTAATTCCATTTCTGAAATGTCTGGCTCTAATCGTCCTAGACTTCTCAAACAACAGAATCAGTTTCTTGTTACAAAAAATTCCAAAGAACTGGCAATCTGAATGCTCACATTTGGATACCGCTGTGAAAATTTCATTGCTGAAGAAACTCAAGAGATCTGGAAGCATCTTTGGAGAGAAATGTTAACTCTGTTTCCCTTTCCACAGATGCTGCCAGACCTGCTAAGTTCATAAGAAATAGGGGCAGAATTAGGCCATTTGCCCTATCAAGTCTGCTCGCCATTCGATCATGGTTGATATGCTCCACACCCCCATTTTCCTGCCTTCTTCCCATAACCCTTCAACCCATTACCAAGTAAAAATCTGTGTCTAACTCCTCCTTAAATTTACTCACTGTTCCAGCATCCACCACACTTTGGGACTGCTCCACTGATTTCTGTTTTAGAATCAGTTTCTCTCTCTCTACTGTATATACTCCATTAAATCAGTTCCCTTCAGTATCCTGAAAATATTTATCAAATCATCTCTCAACTTCTAAATTCCATAGGGTATAACGTATCTAACCAGAATCTCTTCCCCGACTCTCCTCTTCCCTTCTTTTCCCTCTTCCCCACCCTTACCAAAGTCTCTTTGGACCTTCGCTGTTCCTAACTTTTCACTTGTTAGAAAGGATCCTTAGTAAGATCAAAATGTGTGACCTCACATTGAAATCTGTTGTTAAATACTCAGTTTGTAAAGGCATTGTATTGACTAACAATGTAGGGACAGAAATAGTTACAGCAAGCGAGGTACAAGTACACTTATCAGATCGCAAAAAAACTTGCCAGTGACTTTAAAATTCACAGCAAATTCTTGACAAAGACAAATATGGTTTGTTCAACACCATATCAGAAGACATAAAGGAAAATTGAACATAGCTTTTCTATAAAAGTCCCAGCAGACCACCTCTGGACAATAGAGATAGTTAACTATCTCAAAGGATTTAAAGCTGAAGGTCACTTGTTGCAGAATGGAAATGTATTTACTGAGAACTTAGAGAACAAGTCACTTGGTGAGGATATGTTTATTTAGGATTACTCAAAGAAAAAAGCAATGACTTGTCTGTCGTTTACACTTGCTTAAACTAGACGGAGAGGTCTAAATACGTCATTTCAAATTTCCCAAAAGAAGGGGAAAGACATGATTCTACATTTAACTGGTGGTGATGTTATGTTGCACTTGGTTCCTGGAAACTTTACCACACCATCAATGGAAACAGAGTGTTTACTGATGGCAGATTCATGAACAGCAGAGCTACTTTTCACTGAACAAGTCTTGCATGGAGCAGATTTTCATTCTTTGTCATTTTTTTTATTAATTCATGGGATGTGGGCGTGGCTGACTAGGCCAGCAATTATTGCTCATCCTGAATAGTCCTGGAGAAGGTGAGCTGCCTTCTTCAACGCCTGTGGTCCTTGGGGTGTAGGTACACTCTCAATGCTGATAGGGAGGGAGTTTCAGATTTTGATCCAACAACAGATTTCCAAGTCTGGATGGTGAGTGGCTTGGAGGGAAACGTGCAGGCAGTGGTGTTTAAAATTCACAGCGAATGCCTGACAAAAACAAATGTGGTTTGTGGAGTTATTTTGTGGAGTTATTTCGGTGTTCCCTTGCATTTACCATGCAGAGATATGGAAAGGGCTGTCAAAGGAGCAATATCATTTTGTAAAGAATGGCAGGGAGTCATTATTTAGGTCACATGATGTATGGTAATTGAATTTGCATATAAACTATCAAAGTTTGCATTAGATGTACTAGTGAGGGGAGTGTGACTGCTCCTGATATCAAAGCTGCATCTGACCGACAGTAGCATCAAGGAACCCCAGTAAACTGTATATTGTCCAGGTCGTGCTGTTTATAGATAATGGACTGCCACAGTATCTCGAGTCACAAATGGTGCTGAACATTGAAAAACCATCAGTAAATACTTCTGACTATATGACAGAAGGAGGGTTATTAATGAAGCTACTCTAAGTGATATCCTTGGACTGAGATGATTGACATCCAACAGCTATAACCTTCCTTTGTGCCATATGTGACTCTAAACAATGGACAGATTACTCACGATTCCCAGTGACTTCAAATTAACTGCAGAAGAAATCAATCTTTAAAATTGAGAAGGGAAATAGGTTTTTTTATATAAGTTATTCACTCGACGTGGGTGTCGCTGACAATGTCAGCAGTAATTGCCCATGCTTAATTACTCTTATGGCAGTATTGATGCAATTGAGTGGCTTGCTTGGCCATTTTATGGCAGTTAAGAGTCAACCATTAAGCTGTGGGTTTGGAGTCACACATAAGGTAGACCAGATAAGGATAACAGATTTACTTCCCTAAAAAAGACATGAATGAAGCAAATAGATTTTTAACAATGGCTGGGGGGGAGTGGATTTACAAGGATGTTTATAGTTAATACAGTCCCTACAGTGTGGAAATAGGCCCTTTAGCCCAACAAGTCCACACTGACCCTCCGAGCATCCCACCCAGACCCATCCCCCTAATCTACACATCCGTGAACACTGTGGGCAATTTAGCATGGCCAATCCACCTAGCCTGCACATCGTTGGACTGTGGGAGGAAACCGGAGCACTTGGAGGAAACCCACGCAGACACAGGGAGAACGTGCAAACTCCACACAGACAGTCGCCCGAGGGTGGAATCGAACCCGGTCCCTGGTGCTGTGAGGCAGCAGTGCTAACCACTGAGCCACCGTGCCGCCCTGCTGCCAGCGCTGGAGGGTTTGAGGCTGAATAGGCTGGGGCTATTTCCCTGGGGTGTCAGAGGCTGAGGGGTAACCTTAGAACATAGAACAGTACAGCACAGTACAGGCCCTTCGGCCCATGATGTTGTGCTGAACTTTTATCCTAAACCTTGTAGAGGTTTATAAAATCATGGGGTCATGGGTAGGATGAACAAACAAGGGTCTTTTTCCCAGGGTAGGGGAGCCCACAACTAGAGGGGCATGCATCGAAGGTGAGAGGGGAAATATTTAAAAAGGACCTAAAGGGCAACTTTTTCACGCATCAGGTGGTACGTGTATGGAATGAACTGGCAGAGACTGGTACAATTGCAATATTCAAAAGGTACCTGAATGGATATATGAATAGGAAGGGTCTAGAGGGAAATGGGCCATATGTTAGCAAACGGGACTAGGTTAATGGAGAATATCTGGTCAGCATGGAGGAGTTGGACTGGAGGATCTATTTCCATGCTGTACAGCTCTATGAATCTATTCTGTCCAACATGCTCATGACTTTGAAAATCCCAACCAGATCGCCTCTAGCCATCTTCTCTCCAGGGAGAACAATCCCAACTTCTAAAATCTATCCTCATAGCTGAGGTTTCTCAAATCTGGGGATGAAAGATTATCAGAAGTATATAGTAATGTAGAGTTGAGGTTAAAATCAGGTCAACCATTATCTTATTGACTGTGGAGCAGGCTACTCTTGTTCTTTCTTCATATGCATATATTCTTGTAAATTGCTTCTGCACTGTTTCCAAGGTATTTGCATCTTTCCAATAATGTAGTGCCCACAACTCTATACAATACTCCAGCTGAGGTCAACAAGTATCTTGTACAAGTTTAACATCACATTTTTGCATCTGTACTCTGTGTCCCTGCTAATAAAACTGAAAACACTGTATGCTTTATTTTTTGGTCTCACCACTGTCCTGCACGTTCAATGATCTGAGGCATGCATCAAAAATTACAGTCACACAACTTTACTAACCAACAGTAGAATTCGCAAGGAGTTCTATTGTCAAGGCAAAGATGTTGCAACCATTTCTCATGTCAGTGCTGAAGATGGAAATGGTTTTCACACTGGATGCTTGACCATGATGTTGAAAGGTCAATGACAGCAAACAGAGTTGAAGTTATCTTGCAACATTGTTTGGTCCATCAGCCAATGAAGAACTATTGAAAATACAATCATTTCCTGCAGACAAACACCTCTTGGCCTTAAAAACACTATTCTCATCTAAGAGGCTTGAGGTGTTGGCCATCTGTCTGTCTAGTTCATAAGGTGTACAAGTTTAATTACCTGTCAATATGCTATAATATTTCTGCTAAGTTGAGAGTTTCATGAACTATTTTTTAATGCTTTTAACCACCGTAATTCTTCTATAACTGTACAATGATGGACTAAGTTGACTGGTGCAGATGTGTGAACAACAGATGCAAAGAACAAAAGAACAGTATAGCACCGGAACAGACCCACCAAGACTACCCCAGCACATGCTAAACTAAAAACCTTTTACCTCTATCCATATCTCTATACCCTGCCTGTTCATGTATTTGTCATGATGCCTCTTAAATGCTATTGTATCTGCTTCTAACACCTCCTCTGGCAGTGCATTCCAGGCACTTTACACGCTCTGTGCAAAAAGACTTGCCTCTTACATCTCCGTTAAACGTTTCTCTAATAATTGACATTTCTACCCTGGGAAATACGCTCCATCTATCCACGCCCCTCACCATTTTGTAAACTTCAAATCAGGTCGCGCCTCAGCCTCTGAAGTTCAGGTGAAAACAAATCCAGTTTGTCCAACCTCTCCTTATAACTAACACCCTCTAACCCAGAAAACATCCTGGTAAACCTTTTTTGTATCCTCTCCAAAACCTCCATATCCTTCTACTGGCCTTGGTCTCTAACTCCTCTTTGGTCATTTCATTTGCTGACCTACTGCTCTGGTCCCAAACCCCTGCCACAAGAGTTTAAACCCTCTTGAGTGACATTAGCAAATCGCCCGGCCAGGATATTGGTGCCCCTCTAGTTTAGGTGCAACTGTCTTTCTTGTACAGGTGCCACCTACCCTGGAAGAGATCCCAAAGATCTACATATCTTAAGGCCTCTCTCCTACACCATCTCTTTAGCCACATATATAAGCAATTTGTGTAAAAAGAATAATTGTCATGGAAACAAAACATTCTTCATGAAGTGAGAGAGTGATCTAAGAGACAAAGACACACCATGGAGTACACATTTAAAGGCTGGCTCTTTGGGGGCATCCAAGTCCCAGCTGCCCATTGTTTTAACATGTCTCAGTAGGTTGATTACAAATGCTTGTACTTTCTTTGTTCACCTACTAAATCAAACAACTTGAAGGCAAAGCTCCAAAATAAAGTTGAGATTTGAATGGGACCAATAAATTTGACCAGCAGTGTGCCACAAGGATTAGTGCTGGGTCCACTGCTTTTTGTCATTTATGTAAATGATTTGGATATGAACATAGGAGGTATGGTTAGTAAGTTTGCAGATCTCACTAAAATTGGAAGTGAAGTGGACAACGAAGAAGGTTATCTCAGAATACAAAGGGATCTTGATCTGATGGGCCAATGGGCGAAGGAGTGGCAGATGGAATTTAATTTAGATAAATGTGAGGTGCTGCATTTTGGAAAGGCAAATCTGGGCAGGACATATACACTTAATGGTAAGGTCTGGGGAGTGTTGCTGAGACCTTGGAGTACTGGTTCATAGGTCCTTGAAAGTGGAGTCGCAGCTAGATAGGATAATCAAGAAGGCATTTGGTATGCTTGCCTTTATTGGTCAGTGCATCGAGTATAGGAGTTAGGAGGTCATGTTGCGGTCATACAGGGCATTGGTTAGGCCATTATTGGAATACTGCGTGCAGTTCTGGCCTCCCTGCTATAGGAAGGATGTTGTTAAACTTAAAAGGGTTCAGAAAAGATTTACAAGGATGTTGCCGGGGTTGGAGGGTTTGAGCTATAGGAAGAGGCTGAATAGACCAGGGTTATTTTCCCTGGACCGTTGGAGGCTGAGGGGTGACCTTATAGAGTTTCATAAAATCAAAAGAGGCATGGATAGGGTAAATAGACAAGGTCTTTTCCCTGGGGTGGGGGAGGTCCAAAACTAGAGGGCATAAGTTTAAGGTGAGAGGGGAAAGATTTAAAAGGGACCTAAGGGGCAACATTTTCATGCAGAGAGTGGTGCATGTATGGAATGAGCTGCCAGAAGAAGTGGTGGAGGCTAGTACAATTACAACATTTAAAAGGCATCTGGATGGGTATATGAATAGAAAGGGTTTAGAGGGATATGGGCCAAATGCTGGCAAATGGTTGGCTTGGACAAGTTGGACTAAAGGGTCTGTTTCAGTGCTGTACATTTCTATGACTCTAAATGTAAATAATCACTTTCAGCACAACCTATGTTTAGGAATTCCTGAAGTTTTTTTTTATAAAAGAAAGGGCTGGTTTGCTCCAGTAATGGGGTGGATTAGAAAGGATAAAGAGCAAACCAGTCTTTGTACTGAACTAAGAGATAGAAATCAACAGATTTTGGAAGACAGACTGTCTTTTAATTCCTCCTTTGGTATGAAGATGAGGAACAGTTCAGCAACAGGTTTAATCGTACGGATTGGGAGACTGGATTGGGAGACTGGATTGGGCGAGATGGGAAGAAAATACAAAAGTTTGAAATCACGTACCGATAGATTTAAGATCATCTTCTTCCCCGATGTTATCAGACTTATGAATGGACTTCTCATATATTAGAGTTGATCTTTCTCTGCACCTTCACTGTAGCTGTAACATTATATTCTCCATTATGTTCTAATACCCTGATGTATTTATGTAAGGTATAATTTGTGTGGTTAGCATGCAAAACAGTACCTTTCACTGTTTCTCAGCAGACATGTGACAATAATAAGTCAAATCAAATCGCAGTTAATTCAGGAGTTAATTGGACAGGCTTGTTCTGCTGCAGCTAGACTATTGAGGACCATTACCGTCTCTCACTGCGGCCATTCCTGCGATGCGGGCTTGACTGACTGCGATGGGGTGACGATGAATCCTTCTTCCTGTCGCGGGTAGGGGATGATGGCGCGGCTGCTCCCTTCATGACCTGAAACAATTGGATGGGGCGGAGGGCAGTCGGGAAGGAAGAAATGAGTTGTGTTTGCATCACAATTGACTTCTTGATTTTCCAGGCTTCAGATGGAACTTCACACTATTGTAAAGCCTGGAAGTAATGACAAGATGTCCATTTCATTTTTATCACAGCATGCACCTCCTCTTTCAGGTTCACCTCTCTCTCTGCCCAAATCTGATGTCTTGGCATCAATGAGGGAATTTGGAATGGTATTTGACAATAGACTTCTCTTTCTGAATCAACTAAGCTTGCTTATGAAGGGCAAAATGTCTTGAACTCTGAAACTGAATTAATAAACACCATTAAAAATCTGTGTAGGCTTTTACACATTTATTCTTTTATCCCTGTTAACATAATAGGCTTCGTCAGAGTTGGACACATCTGCCTCACCATTTGAAGGCTGGAAGTCCACTCCCCTTCCCTACGGTCTCCAGTAACCTAAGGAGTCTGTTTTATTTGGCTTCTAAGCCACAATATGGCCATAATTCCAGATAGGTTAAAGAAAGCACCTTTCCCAGTAATCTCACACTGCAAATTTAGAATGGTCAGCATCTGATGGGGATTCTCAGCCAGTTGCTTACCTTTAGCCGCATGTCCCGGGTATGCCTCTCCAGCTCCTTGCGCAGTTCCTCACGACTCAACTTCTCTACATCAAGGATTGAATGCTTCCACTCAATCTGCTCCACACTGTGGGGGTCATGGGACACATACTGTCCAATCTTGACTTTCTTCAGCGTGTGCCAGCACTTTTTGTAGGAACTCTCGAACTCAGAGATGAGATCAATTAAAGTCCTGCACACTGGGGGTTTGAACATCAAGTCCTCGCGCCGGCTCATGCCCAGTGTTCCGAAGCGTCCAGCATAGTGGATTCCAAGCACAATGTGGCGGAAGTAATTCCCTGAGAATTCAGTTTTGAAGCTAATGGGAAATCTCTCTACTCCAGGCATATTGTTGGTGAGGTAACTGATCACAAAAATTAAGGAAAAGCACAGGACCATGCCTTCGCCAGGATTTTAGAACATTGAGGGCAGACTTTAATGCGCTCTTCTGTGATGTGTTTGGCAGCAGAGGGTCATTTAATCAAGTGGGAGGGTGACAGGTGTGGATCCAGCGATAGCCCTTTCTGTTCCGCACTGTAGGGATTCTAAGATGGGAAAGCTCATGCACAATCTTCCTGCTCCGTCACAAACTGAAACTCTTAAGTGAACAACTAATACTCACTTAAAAGGCCTTATTCCCCTGCTGGTTTTAACCAGCAGTGGGCAGGGTGTTGTTTATTGTGCTCCCAACAAGGTGAACTTGAACAGGGTTGCTTGTGGTCTCCCACAGGGTGGTTTTCATTTAAAAGCACTCAGTGCCTGAAATGAAGGATGCGAGACTGGGAGAAGAGGGCCCTCCACTGAGGTTACTTCTCACTGCCACTCACCTGTGTGCTGGGGTGTAACAATAATATCAGGCCTTGGGTGGGTGTTGTACAGGCAGTCAGCAATAACAAGCCAATGAAAAATGGGTAGACAAAGCATTTGAAATGATTGAATCTGTCCAATAGCATGGTGCAGTTAGAGGCTAGAGATCAAACAATAAAATCTCCAAGAACATATCCAAACTTTGCAGCTTTATACACAAGTCAAAACTAAACTAACTAACCACAGCTCACATCAGGGGATCTTTGATGCCATCGCCATTTTTATATCCGATGAGGAGTACCATGGGTGGCCGGACCTCACTTTCTTACTCTTGCTTTTGCACTATTTGTTGTGAATAGAATTGTGCTTAGAATTGCATTAAGCCATTTGGGGTCCCCTGTGCCAATAAATTCCAATTTTCTGCATAAATACTATCACAATACGACCAGAGCAGATCCCTGGCCCTACACTCATCCCTGGAACATCTGGATATCAAGGACACCTACATCAGACTCCTATTTATTTACTTTAATTCCACTTTCAACACTATAATTCAACAAAACTCATCTCCAAACTCCAAGACCTAGGACTCTGCTCCCCCACCTGCAACTGGATCCTGGACTTCCTGACCCACAGGCCACAATCAGTTATGGTAGGCGACAACACCTGCTCCACCATAATCCCTAAAACTGGTTCCCTGCAAGCCTGTGTACTCAGCCCCCGCTATACTACTTATACACTCAGGGCTGTGCGGCCAAATTCAACGCCAACTCCATTTACAAATTTGCTGATGACACCACTGCAGTGGGATGGATCTCAAACAATGACGTGACAGAGTACAAGAAGGAGATAGACAGCTTCATGCCATGGTGTAAAGACAACAATCCCACAATGTCAGAAAAACAAAGGAGCTGGTCATCGACTTCAGGAAGCAGAGTCATGCCCCTGTCTGTCTCAATGGTGTTGAGGTGGAGGAGGTTGAGAGTTTCAACTTCCTAGGAGTAAATACCATCAATCTGTCCCGGTCCATCCACATCAATGCTACAGTGAAGAAAGCACATCAACGCCTCTACTTCCTCACGAGGCTAAGGAAATTTGGCATTTTCCACATGACTCTTACCAACTTCTTAAGATGAACCATAGAAAACATCCTACCTGGATGCAGCACAGCTTGGTATGGCAACTGCTCCGCCCAAGACCGCAAGAAATTACAGAGAGTTGTGAACACAGCCCAGTCCATCACACAAACCAGCCTTCCTTCCAGTGACTCTTGTCTATACTTCCCGCTGCCTCGGGAAAACAGCCAACATAATCAAAAACCCCTCCCACCACGGTTATACTCTCTTCCACCCTCTTCCATCGGGCAGAAGATACAAAAGTTTGAAAACACGTACCAACAGATTCAAGAACGGATTTTTCCCTGTTATCAGACTTACGAATGGACCTCTCATACATTCAAGTTGATCATTCTTTGCACCTTCTCTGTATTCCGCATTCTGTTCTGATGTACTTTTGTGAGGTATGATTTGTCTGGTTAGCACGCAAAACACTATCTCTGTCCATGGGACAATAATAATAAATCATTTCTGAAGAAGGATCCCGACCCAAAATATCAACTTTCCTGCTCCTCTGATGCTGCCTGGTCTGCTGTGCTTCTCCAGCTCTACACCTTGTTATCTCTGACTCCAGCGTTGGCAGTTCCTACTATCTCTCAATAATAAATCAAATCAAATAAATGCAAAATACTGCAGATGCTGGACTATCTGAACAGCAAGTGTGGAGAAACTCAGCAGGTCTGGCAGTATTTATAGAAACAGAGTTAATGTTTTGAGTCTAATATGAGTATTCTTCAGAACAGATTTTCTACCTTATTTTTTAAATTTTCTCTAAAGAAAAGGATACATCCCCAAAATCACTGCTTCCAAGCATTTGATTGGTAGAGACTCTCGAATCATTTCTCGTGCTAGATCCATCAGGCTGTAAAACCAGAAACAAAAAAAAAATTAGATTTCAAAACCATCTTAATATTACAAATGATTTTGAGCAAGTGCTCAGGTGCATTGTTGAAACTCAGAGGGTAATCAGATTTAGTGCAATTCACAGTCAGTTAGTCAGTTTCATGAATGAAAGTGAGGGAGTTCACTTACAAAGTCAGAGCTACTCATTACAGAAATGAATTGATTCACAAGATGTGTTGCAGCTTTCCCATTTCTGACAGTTGGATCTTTGCAAAAACTTACATGCGAGTGTGCTCGTGTGAACAAACTTCAATAAATTGGAGATCAATCTCGCACCAGTTACTAAGATTACACATACTAAGATTTTGCTTAATTCATAAGGGATAACAAAAAAACCTTGATTGCAATCATTCTTGATGTGGAGGTGCCAGTGTTGGACTGGGGTAGACAAAGTCAGAAGTTGCATGACACCAGGTTATAATTCAACAGGTTTATTTGAAATCACAAACTTTTGGAGCACTACTTCTTCGTAAGCTGACAAAGGAGCAGCACTCTGAAAGTTTGATGATTTCAAGTAAACCTGTTGGACTATAGTCTGGCGTTGTGTGACTTCTGATGCAATCATCCTTGCCTAACTTGATACAATAATGCAAGAGTTAATGGATATGATGCAACTAGTATTAGGGGGAAAAAAGTCAAACTGATCACTTGAAATACAGATATCATCTGCCATACTTCCAACAATGTTTGATTTGCAGCCCTTCTTGAACTTATTAGATAGCTATTTAAATTCATTAGTTTTCAGTTGTTGTATGTAAGTGTGAAAGGGTTAAAACTTCATTTAGCGCTGTAAGCACCACACACTATGGTTATATCAAAGGGCCTTGGTCAGAGTAAAGGAGGAGGTTGCAGGATACATACCTGGGGTTAGTCTCTCTTGTTATGTAGGTTTTACATTCATGTCATTTGTAAATTGCACTGATGCAATTAACGTCAAATTGTTCACTCAAGAAGTCTCTTCCAGTTAAAGCCATTACATACTAAATCATTTCAGGCTTGAAGGAACTCTCACATATCCACAGTCACTAATTGAAGTTATTCATCAGTCTGTCTTTTCAAAGTGAGAGTAAGTTTTAGAGAGTTCATCAAGCTATTCCCTACATGTTTTGGAAACAAAGGTCTCCTGTGAAAGAATTAAGTAATATCATAGTTTATCATAATATACCTCAATAGTTCACTCCACAATATACCTCAACAGCTCAATTGAGTCCTGAAGAATGGTCAAGTCTAAAAGTTGTGGATGTGGAGGCGGATTTTAAGGGAAGCTTAAAGGAGGAAGTAAAACAGTAGATAGGTGTAGGGAGGGAATTCTAGAGCATGTGGTTTGAGAGAATAAAGAGAGGTGAATCTTGGGTACAGCGAGAGCAAAGCAGTATAAAAAGCTAGAGTATATGAACAAAAACAAAGCAGCTGGAAAAACTCAGCAGGTCTGGCAGCATCTGTGAAGGAAAAAAACACAGTTTACGTTTCAGGTCCCGTGATCCCTCCTCAGGACCCGAAACGTTAACTCTGTTTTCTCCTTCACAGATGCTACCAGACCTGCTGAGCATTTCCAACAACTTTGTTTTTGTTCCTGATTTACCGCATCCGCAGTTCTTTCGATTTTTATTCCAGAGTATATGAAGTTTAGCTACAGTGGTTTGGCCTGCAGCTGCACATTATTTTACCCCTTCTTTGGAACTCTACTCAGCTCTCCGAACTCTCATGGCTGAAAATACTCCACATGCAACTGGTTGATTTCTTGCTCCCTGTATTAGAGATGAATAACTTGTGAAAGATCAGGTGCAGCAGAATCTATTGCAAACCTTGTGTGGGTGATGCAGCTTTGAAACTGAACATATACGTGGGCACATTGCCTATGAGTAGCATGGTGGCTCAGTGGCTAGCACAGCTGCCTCACAGCGCGTGGGCAAACATAATCCCAAACTAAACTAGTCCCACCTGTCTGCTCCTGCCCCATATCCCTCTAACCCTTTCCTATTCATGTATCCATCCAAATGTCTTTTAATCATTATAATTGTTTCCGCATCCACCACTTCATCAGCAAGTTCACTCTACACACAAAAATTTGTTGCTTATGTCTTTTTTAAATCTCTCTCCTCTCACTTTAAATATGTGCCCCCTTGTTTTGAAATTCCCCATCTTAGGGAAAAGACAATTACCATCAACTCTATCTATACCTCTCATTATTTTATAAACATCTATCACCTCTCAACCTCCCACGCTCCAGTGAAAAAAATCCCAGGCTATCCAGCCTTTCATTATAACTCAAACCTTCCATACACAGCAACACCCTGGTAAATCTCTTCTGAACCGTCTCCAGCTTGACAATATCCTTCCTATAACTGAGCGACCAAAACTGGATACAGTATTCTAGAAGAGGCTTCACCAATGTCCTGTACAACCTCAACATAATGTCCCAACTCGTATACTGAAAGGACTGAGCAATGAAAGCAAGCGTACCGAATGCCTTTTTAATCATCCTGACCAAATGTGATGCAAACTTTAAAGAATTATGTACCTGCACCCCTCGGTCCCTCTCTTTTACAACACTCCAGGGCCCTTTAATTAATTGTATAAGCCCTGCCCTCGTTTGTTGTACCAAAATGCAACACCTCGCATTTATCCAGATTGAACTCCACCTGCCAGTTTTTCAGTCCATTGACCCATTTGATCAAGATCCATTTGTAATCTGAGATAACCTTCTTCACTGTCTACTGTGCCACCAATTTTGGTGTCATCCGCAAATTTACTAACCGGGCTCATCCAAATCATTTAGAAATGACAAACAAAAGTGGACCTAGAACCAATCCCTGTGGAACACTGGTCACAGGCCTTCAGTCCGAAAAGCAACCCTTGACCATTACTCTGTGTCCCCTGCCGTTAAACCAATTATGTTTTCAATTAGCAAGCTCACCCTGAATCCCATGTGACCTAACATAACTAATTAGTCTACCATGCAGAACCTTGTCAAAGGCTTTACTAAAATCCAAATAAACAATGTCCAATGCTCTGCCATCATCAACCTTTTTGGTAACTTCCTCAATCAAGTTTGTGAGACACAATTTTCCTCACACAAAACCATACTGACTATCCCTAAACACTTTTTGCCTCTCTAAAATGTCCATAAATCCTATCTTTTATAATCACCTCCAACAATTTACCCACAAATGTTGTGCTGTTGTTTAAGAAAGGCTGCAAGGAGAAGTCTGGAGACTACAGACCTGGGAATCTGACATCAGTGGTGGGTAGGTTTTTGGAGGTGATTCTGAAAGATAAAATTTACATGCATTTGGCAGGGCAAGGACTGATTAGGCACCGTTAGCATGGTTTTGTGCATGGGAAATTGCGTCTCACGAACTTGATTGAGTTTTTTTAATGTAGTGATCAAAAAGATTAAGAGAGCAGAGCAGCAGGCATTATATACTTGGACTTTAGTAAAGCCTTTGAGAAGGTTCTGCTTGGTAGACTAATTAGTAAAGTTACATCACATGGGATTCAGGATGAGCTTGCCAATTGAATACAAAATTGGCTTTATGGTAGGAGACAGAGGGTGGTGCTGGAGTGTTGTTTCTCGGACTGGAGACCTGTGACCAGCTATGTTCCACAGGGATTAGTACTGGGTCCACTTTTGTTTGTCATTTGTGGCAAAGACCAGTGGGAAACAAGAAGACTGGGAAAACTTTAAAGGTCAACAGAAAGCCACAAAAAAAAAGCTATAAAGAAAAGTAAGACAGATTATGAGACCAGCTAGCTCAGAATATAAAGATAGATAGCAAAAGTTTCTATAAAAAGAGTGGCTAAGGTAAACATTGGTTCTTTGGAGGATGAGAAGGGGAATTTAATAACAGGAAATGAGGAAATAGCTAAGGCATTGAACAGGTATTTTGTGTCAATCTTCACAGTGGACGACACGAATAACTTGCCAGTAATTGATGACAAAGAGACTAAGGTAGGTGAGGACCTAGACACGATCATTATTGTGAAATTAGTAGTGTTGGGCAAGCTAATGGAGCTAAAAGTAGACAAGTCTCCTGGCCCGGATGGAATACAGCCCAGGATACTCAAAGGAGAAATGGCAAATGCACTCGTGGTAATTTTCCAAAATTTGCTGTACTCTGGGGTAGTTCTAACAGATTGGCTGTTTTCCAATGTGATGCCACCACTCAAAAAAAAAAGAGGTAGACAAAAGATGGGGAGTTATAGGCTGGTTAGCTTAACTTCTGTAGTAGGGAAAATGCTTGAATCTATCATCAAGGAAGAAATAGCAAGACATCCAGATAGAAATTGTACCATTGGGCAGATGCAGCATGGGTTCAGGAAAGGCAGGTCATACTTGATTAATTTGCTGGAATTGTATGAAGGTATTACGAGCGCAGCGGACAATGGGGACCCAGTAGATGCGGTGAATCTGGATTTCCGAAAGGCATTCGACAACGTGCCGCACAAAAGGCTGCTGCATAAGACAAAGGTGCACGGTGTTACAGGCAATGTATTAGCATGGACAGAGGATTGGTTAACAAACAGAAAGCAAAGAGTGGGGATAAATGAGTGTTTTTCTGGTTGGTGAACAGTGACTCCTGGTGTTCCTTAGGGATCAGTGTTGGGACCACTATTGTTTACAATTTACATAGATGATTTGGAGTTGGGGACCACGTGTAGTGTGGATGACACTAAGATGAGTGGTAGAGCAAAGTGTGCAGGGGAGTCTGAAAATTTGCAGAGGGATATAGATGGTTAAAGTGAGTAGGCAAAAGCCTGGCAGATGGAATTCAATGCTGAATAGACTGGGATTATATTCATTGGAATTTCGAAGAATGAGGGGGGGAATCTTATAGAAACATATAAAATTGTGAAGGGAAAGATAAGATAGAAGCAGGGAGGTTGTTTCCACTGGTGGGTAAACTAGAACAAGAAGGCATAGCCTCAAAATTAGGGGGAGCAGATTTATGACTGAATTCAGGAGGAACTTCTTCACCCAAAGGGTTATGAATCTGTGAAATTCCCTCTCCTGTCAAGTAGTTGAGGCTTCCTTATTGAATGATTTTAAAGCTAGGATAGATAATTTTTTGCATAGTAAAGGAATTAAAGGAACTGAAGCCATGAAAAGATCAGCCATGATCTCACTGAATGGCAGAGCTGGCTTGAAGGCCCAGATGGCCTACTCCAGCTCCTGATATTCCTTTATAAATGATTTGGATGAGAATATAAGAGGCATGGGAGGCGATGACCTAGTGGTATTATCATTGGAATGCTAATGCAGAGACCCAGATAACATTCTGGGGACCCAGGTTCAAAACCCACCATGGCAGATGATGGAATTTGAATTCAATAAAAATATCTGGAATTAAGAATCTAATGATGGCCAGGAACCCATTGTTGATTGTTGGAAAAACCCGTCTGGTTCACTGATGTCCTTTATGGAAAGAATCTGCCACCTTTACCTTTTTTCTATTCATTTGTGGGATGTGGGCTTTGCTGGCTGGACCAGCATTTCTTGCCCATCCCTAGTTGCCCTTGAGAAGGTGGTGGTGAGCTGCATTCTTGAACCGCTGTAGTGCTCCTGCTGTGGGTTGACCCACAATGCTATTAAGGAGGGAATTCCAGGTCTAGCCTCCATGTGACTCCACAATGTGGTTAACTCTGAACTGCCCTCTGAGCAATTAGGGATGGGCAATAAATGCAGCCTGTCAGTGACACCCTCATCCCGTTAATGAATAAAGGAAAAAATAAAGTTTGCAGAGGCTGGTATAGTGGAGAGTGAAGAAGGTTATCTAAGATTACAAATGGATCTTGATCAAATGGGTCAATGGACTGAAATATGCAGATGGAGTTCAATTTGGATAAACATGAGGTATTACATTTTGGTAAAACAAACAGGGGCAGGACTTAGACAATTATTAGTAGGGCCTTGGGTAGTGTAGAGGGACCTAGGGGTTCAGGTACATAAGTTTGGATCACATATAGGGTGGTTAAAAAGTCACTTAGCACGCTTGCCTTCATTGCTAAGTCCTTTGAGTATAGGAGTTGGGAAGTCATGTTCAAGTTGTACAGGGCATTGGTGAGGCCTCTTCAGAAATACTGTGTCCAGTTCTGGTCATCCAGTTGTACGAAGAATATTACTAAGCTAGGCAGGGTTCAGAAGAGATTTACCAAGATGTTGCCGTGTATGGAAGGTTTGAATTATAAAGGAAGGCTAGATAGGCAGGGACTTTTTCCACTGAAGCTGAGGAGGTTGAGAGGTCACCTTATAGGGGTTTATAAAATGATGAGGGGTATAGATAGGGTTAATGGTTGGGGTCTTTTCTCTAGGATGGGGATTTCAAGACTAGGGGCATATTTTTAAGGCGAGTAGATAGAGATTTAAAAAAGACATGCGGAGCAAACTTTTTTTTAAAAACACACAGAGGGTAGTTCACGTGTGGAATGAACTTCCTGATTTGATTTGATGTATTATTGTCACATGTACTTGAGTACAGTGAAAAGTTCTGTTTTGCGAGCAGTACAGGCAGATCATAACACACAAGGACAGCAGATCATTGGGTGTTTGGACATAAAAGGTTACAGCTGAACAGGAGGTGCACAAAAGCAAGATCAACATTAGATTTGAAATTAGAGAGATCCATTCAGCAAGCTAATAACAGCGGGGAAGAAGCTGTTCTTAAACCTGTTGGTACGTGTGTTCAAGCTTCTGTATCTTCTGTCTGACTGATGAAGTTGGAAGAGAGTATTACCAGAGTGGGAGAGGTCTTTGATGATATTAGTAGCCTTTCCACGGCAACAAGTATCATCGATGGAACCAATGGATGGGATTTTGGCTTTTGTGATGGTCTGAAAGTACACAACTTTCTGTCGGAAGTGATGGATGTGGGCACAGTTACAACATCTAAAAAACATTTGGATAAATACATGAATAGGAAAGGTTTGGACAGTTATGGGCCAGGAGTCGGCAGTGAGACTAGTTTAGTTTGGGATTACGTTCGGCATAGACTGGTTGGACCGAAGGGTCTGTTTCCATGCTGTATGACTCTATGTGGCAAAAGAAATTCATAAGTTCCTCTTTGTTGTTGGAAGTATAACATTCTCTTTATTACAAACTCTAATGTCAGTACAACACTCTCAGTTGTAACATTCTCTATTAGACATCATATCCCCAGTGCCATAAAAGACAGCTTTATACTATTTACAAGGCTATTAACTATTGTTTTCTGAAATTTATCAAAGAACATTGTATATTGCTTCAAGCAAATTCAAGCCAAGAAGAAAATTATGGCACATTGAACAGGTTTGCCCTAATATGCCAACAGTACAGAACTGACCAAAGGGTTGTTACTCAATGACAACTGATCAGTGCTACTTACCCAGTTAAAGGTCGATTTTTCTTAATCTCAAAAAATTGTGTTCCAGTGTGATTGTACCTGGATTGGATGGTTAAGTAATAATTCAAAATGCACAAAAAAAAATCACTGCAGCATACCCAACACAGGAGACTCTGCAGAATATGGAGTTCTGCAACTGTCTACTGTTAGTTTCTGGGAAATATGATAATGTTGAATTTTTAATTCGACATGTTTCTTTTTGTCTGAAAGTTGGACAAATGAAATCAATCTGACAAGGTCTTGAAAGCTCCCCTACCCTGGCACATCTCCACTCCCACCACCCCCCCAACCAAGCCTCCAGTTGGTAGTGAGTGAAAATGACTACTGTGTCCTGAAGCGACAGCACTCTACAAAGCAGCTGGTGTCATTCTTAAAACTTTTAAGTATGCTTTTAAAGTTGCTTTTAAGTATGATTGCATTTCCAAAGAATGTGAAATGAAGCGTGTTACTCTAAGTAGGTAGTGTCTCCCACCCATCCTCCTCCTCTAACCAAAAAAAAAGGTTCTGAGCGCTGATTTGGTAAGGCTACTAGTTTTTTTTTTAATTTGTCTGTTTGGGAATTCAGAACAGTGGGAATGGATGTTAGGGCAGTTGTATGCTCCTCCTGTAGAATGTGGGAGGTAAGGGTCACCATTAGTGTCCCCACTGACTTCATCTGTGGGAAGTGCACCCAACTCCAGCTCCTCGGAAACCGTGTTAGGGAACTGGAGCTGGAGCTGGATGAACTTCGGATCATTCGGGAGGCTGAGGGGGTAATTGAGAGGAGTTACGGGGAGGTAGTCACATCTCAGGTACAGGAAAAAAGTAGATGGGTTACAGTCAGGGGACGGAAAGGGAACAGGCAGACAGTGCAGGGATCCCCTGTGGCCGTTCCCCTCAAAAACAAGTATACTGTTTTGGATACTGTTGGGGGGGATGACTTACCAGGGGTAAGCCATGGGGTATAGGTCTCTGGCACAGAGTCTGTCCCTGTTGCTCAGAAGGGAAGGGGGGAGAGGAGGAGAGCATTAGTCATTGGGGACTCCATAGTTAGGGGGACAGATAGGAGATTCTGTGGGAACGAGAGAGACTCGCCGTTGGTGTGTTGCCTCCCAGGTGCCAGGGTCCGTGATGTCGCGGATCATGTTTTCGGGATCCTTAAGGGGGAGGGGGAGCAGCCCCAAGTCGTGGTCCACATAGGCACCAACGACATAGGTAGGAAAAGGGATGGGGACGTAAGGCAGAAATTCAAGGAGCTAGGGTGGAAGCTTAGAGCTAGAACAAACAGAGTTGTTATCTCTGGTTTGTTACCCGTGCCACGTGCTAGCGAGGCGAGGAATAGGGAGAGAGAGCAGTTGAACACGTGGCTACAGGGATGGTGCAGGAGGGAGGGATTCAGATACCTGGATAATTGGGGCTCATTCTGGGGTAGGTGGGACCTCTACAAACGGGATGGTCTACACCTGAACCAGAGGGGTACCAATATCCTGGGGGGGAAATTTGCTTATGCTCTTCGGGAGGGTTTAAACTATTTCAACAGGGGGGTGGGAACCTGAATTGTAGCTCCAGTGTACAGGAGGTTGAGAGGAGTGAGGTCATAAATAAGGTTTCAAGGTCGCAGGAGTGTACCGGCAGGCAGGAAGGTGGTTTGAAGTGAGTCTACTTCAATGCCAGGAGCATCCGTAATAAGGTGGGTGAACTTGCAGCATGGGTTGGTACCTGGGACTTCGATGTTGTGGCCATTTCGGAGACATGGACAGAGCAGGGACAGGAATGGTTGTTGCAGGTTCCGGGGTTTAGATGTTTCAGTAAGATCAGGGAAGGTGGTAAAAGAGGGGGAGGTGTGGCATTGTTAGTCAAGGACAGTATTACGGTGGCAGAAAGGACATTTGATGACAACTTGTCTACTGAGGTAGAATGGGCTGAGGTTAGAACCAGGAAAGGAGAGGTCACCCTGTTGGGAGTTTTCTATAGGCCTCCGAAAAGTTCCAGAGATGTAGAGGAAAAGATTGCAAAGATGATTCTGGATAGGAGCGAAAGTAACAGGGTAGTTGTTATGGGGGACATTAACTTTCCAAATATTGACTGGAAACGCTATAGTTCGAGTACTTCAGATGGGTCAGTTTTTGTCCAATGTGTGCAGGAGGGTTTCCTGACACAGTATGTAGATAGGCCAACAAGAGGCGAGGCCACATTGGATTTGGTACTGGATAATGAACCAGGCCAGGTGTTAGATTTGGAGGTAGGTGAGCACTTTGGTGATAGTGACCACAATTCGGTTACGTTTACTTCAGCGATGGAAAGGGATCGGTATATAACGCAGGGCAAGAGTTATAGCTGGGAGAAAGGCAATTATGAGACGATGAGGCAAGATTTAGGATGCATAGGATGGAGAAGGAAACTGCAGCGGCTGGGCACAATTGAAATGTGGAGCTTGTTCAACGAACAGCTACTGCGTGTCCTTGAGAAGTATGTACCTGTCAGGCAGGGAGGAAGTGGTCGAGCGAGGGAACCGTGGTTTACTAAAGAAGTTGAATCTCTTGTCAAGAGGAAGAAGGAGGCTTATGTAGAGATGAGGCGTGAAGGCTCAGTTAGGGTGCTTGAGAGTTACAAGTTAGCCAGGAAGGACCTAAAGAGAGAGCTAAGAAGAGCCAGGAGGGGACATGAGAAGTCTTTAGCAGGTAGGATCAAGGAAAACCCTAAAGCTTTCTATAGGTATGTCAGGAATAAAAGAATGACGAGAGTAAGATTGGGGCCGGTCAAGGACAGTAGTGGGAAGTTGTGCGTGGAGTCCGAAGAGATAGGAGAGGTGCTAAATGAATATTTTTCGTCAGTATTCACACAGGAAAAAGACAATGTAGTCGAGGAGAATACTGAGATACAGTCTATTAGACTAGACGGGATTGAGGTTCATAAGGAGGAGGTGTTAGCAATTCTGGAAGGTGTGAAAATAGATAAGTCCCCTGGGCCGGATGGGATTTATCCTAGGATTCTCTGGGAAGCTAGAGAGGAGATTGCAGAGCCTTTGGCTTTGATCTTTATGTCGTCATTGTCTTCAGGAATAGTGCCAGAAGACTGGAGACTAGCAAATGTTGTCCCCTTGTTCAAGAAGGGGAGTAGAGACAACCCTGGTAATTATAGACCAGTGAGCCTTACTTCGGTTGTGGGTAAAGTGTTGGAAAGGATTATAAGAGATAGGATTTATAATCATCTAGAAAGGAATAATTTGATTAGGGATAGTCAACACGGTTTTGTGAAGGGTAGGTCGTGCCTCACAAACCTTATTGAGTTCTTCGAGAAGGTGACCAAACAGGTGGATGAGGGTAAAGCGGTTGATGTGATGTGGTGTATTTGGATTTCAGTAAAGCGTTTGATAAGGTTCCCCATGGTAGGCTATTGCAGAAAATACGGAGGCATGGGATTGAGGGTGATTTAGCGGTTTGGATCAGAAATTGGCTAACTGTAAGAAGACAGAGGGTGGTGGTTGATGGGAAATGTTCATCCTGGAGTTCAGTTACTAGTGGTGTACCTCAAGGATCTGTTTTGGGGCCACTGCTGTTTGTCATTTTTATAAATGACCTGGATGAGGGCGTAGAAGGATGGGTTAGTAAATTTGCGGATGACACCAAAGTCGGTGGAGTTGTGGATAGTGCGGAAGGATGTTGCAGGTTACAGAGGGACATAGATAAGCTGCAGAGCTGGGCTGAGAGGTGGCAAATGGAGTTTAATGCGGAAAAGTGTGAGGTGATTCACTTTGGAAGGAGTAACAGAAATACAGAGTACTGGGCTAATGGTAAGATTCTTGGTAGTGTGGATGAGCAGAAAGATCTCAGTGTCCATGTGCATAGATCACTGAAAGTTGCCACCCAGGTTGATAGGGTTGTTAAGAAGGCGTACAGTATGTTAGGTTTTATTGGTAGAGGGATTGAGTTTCGGAGCCATGAGGTCATGTTGCAGCTGTACAAAACTCTGGTGCGGCCGCACTTGGAGCATTGCGTACAGTTCTGGTCACCGCATTATAGGAAGGATGTGGAAGCATTGGAAAGGGTGCAGAGGAGATTTACCAGGATGTTGCCTGGTATGGAGGGAAGGTCTTATGAGGAAAGGCTGAGGGTTTTGAGGCTGTTTTTGTTAGAGAGAAGAAGGTTAAGAGGTGACTTGATAGAGACATACAAGATGATCAGAGGATTAGATAGGGTGGACAGTGGGAGCCTTTTTCCTCGGATGGTGATGCCTAGCACGAGGGGACATAGCTTTAAATTGAGGGGTGATAGATATAGGACAGATGTCAGAGGTAGGTTCTTTACTGAGAGAGTAGTAAGGGCGTGGAATGCCCTGCCTGCAAAAATAGTAGACTCGCCCACTTTAAGGGCATTTAAATGGTCATTGGATAAACATATGGATGATAATGGAATAGTTTAGGTTAGATGGGCTTCAGATTGGTTTCACAGGTCGGCGCAATATCGAGGGCCGAAGGGCCTGTACTGCGCTGTAATGTTCTATGTTCTAAGTGCTCTAACCATTCACTAGCTGATCAGAACAGTGTTATAAACCATTAACCCATAATTGCAGTTTGCATCTCACATGAAGTGTTTTGCATCTTCTGAAAAACTACATTAGCAAAGGAACAATCAATGGGGTATGTCTGTTTTTGACTGAAATAAATTGGTATCACAGATTAGCAGGCAAACTGTAACTGACAAGGAGCTACCTTTAAGAGGAGATAGAGCATAATTAAGATATATTCTCACAAAAGGGAAAAGTTTGGGCATTAAAAAAAACCAACAGTCACTTGGGTGACAACAGATTGAAAATAAAGTTTTTAAAAAAAGTGCGCCTACGACAGACTACTGGCGGAGAGTGCAACAAAGAACCAGGCCAAATGTAGAGAGTTCACAGGGGAACTGAACACAAATGAAAGGTGAAAAGGGAGAATACGAGATGAAGTTGGTAGCTAACCAGAAAAAGGAATCCAAAGGTTTTCTATAGGCTAATAAGTAATGAAAAAGATAGTAAAATGTCGAATGGAACCAACTGGGAACCAAAAATGAGTTTTACAC